TAAAGGTTTTAATAAAAATGTCCACTGTACTATTTCCAAGGTACTTAGTTTGAAAAGGGTTTGAGGTTGGTATTTGTGTGTTGCTTCAGAAAATGCTACCTTATCTTGAAACAAGTGCCACGACTTAGATGAGCCTTTGTGACTTTCAAAGATTTCAGTTGAAGTCCAGATTAGGTCTTTAACTGATAACAATAGGTTCATTACAAAACTTGTGGCTGGAATCTTTCAAAAATATAAGAATCAAAATTTAAATTTGAAAAAATAAATTGGGGAGTGAGCTGGGAAAATGAGGTTGCCAAACCATAGACTTGGAACACTGGAGATCTGCATTTGGTTGTGACTTGGTATAAACGTGGGCAAATATAATGCCTCTTTGGCTTTGGTGTCTCTGTGTGAAGATGCCAGAATAGGTATTCATGAAAATCCTTTGCAGTCTAACTACATGATTTTTTTCTTCTTCATGATTAAACACAGTTGATTTTGACCCGGTTTAAGAAATTTTTTCCCTGGAGACAGCAGATGGTAGAGGGAGCATTAGTCATTAACAACATTGACTTTTGAACAAGGCAGCCTGGGTTTGAAATTTTGCTTCCGCAATTTATTAACTGTTAGCCTGTAGCAAAGTACAAACTTCACTCTCCCTCTGTTTCCTCACCCATAAAGTGGGGATAATAAATTTCCTATTTCATTGATTCTTGTGAGGAATAAATAAGTTAATATATGCAAAGATCTAGGATAGTGTCTAGCACATGATAAATGCTACCTACAGATTACCTTTATTATTGTAATAGTGCTATAGGGCAGCCCCGATACAAAACGGGGTGCCTGACAGTGGGTCCTCATCCACATGCTTAAAAGGACTTATCAATGCTCTACTGCAGGCACACACGAAAGGTTAATAAAAGGTTTATTTACAAGGGAAGGGCAAATGAGGAAATGTACAGCTCAGGGAGAAAAGTGGGAGACAAAGTTTTAAATGAGTCCTACCCGATCCACAGATCTGGAATCCCAAATGGCACTCTGAGAGCTGGCCGCGAGCCAGGAGCCGTGAAGCCAGGAGGGGAGCGACAGCGAGCCCTCCAAGGCCCACGTGTCTGGTTTTTATACCCAACCTGGCTGCTTAACTCCACCCTCAAGTCCCTGCCACCTTCCCTTTGGTGGTGACGGGATTTGTCTTTCCCAATGTCTTGATGGCTTTGGTCTGGAGTGGGGGTGGAGTCCACAAAGCCTGCATGGAATTAGCTCAGGACATCATTTCTCCCTAACGATAGCACCAGCACTGACTTCTATTGCTGCCCAGTGGTCTTTTGGAGGGATGGCAGCTTTCCTTCTTAGCTAGAATTCCCTGAGCCTCTTGGGGAGGGAAGTGAGAATAGTGTGGCAGTTGTTGTAGCTCTAATCCCATGAGGTGCAGTAGTCCAGTTCTACAGCAAGCAGTCTCTCCTGTATGCGTTCACACCCGAGTACTGACTGCTCTTCCCACTGCTCTGCTCTTCTCACAAAGGTAGCACTCTCCTGGTCGGTTTCTTGGTGGAAGGGGCAGAGCTGTCTCTCACCACAATGGAAAGTAAACTGAATGTGGCTCCAGTGTCCTGATGCAATGATGTCTGATAATATGCCCTGTGGCTAAGGATATAAGTTCTACATTCACTTTGTCAACTTTGCCAACTTTGTTGCCTAGGGCAAGTTATTTAATCTCTCCATGCTTCTTTCTCCAATATCTGCAATGGGAATAGTAGTAATAATAATCTACTTCATGGTATGGCTGTGATGATTAAATGAAAATGATGACTAACATGCAAAGTTCCAAGATGGCTCATGGCATGGACAGTCATGCGCCTCATAGTGAAGTTTCTCTTGGCGGGCTGCATATTGGATGGTGTGCAGTGTCTATATTGCCTAGGTGGGCAGTGGGCTTTCATCCAGGTTTGTGGAAGCACAGTCTATGACATTTGCTCAATGACACAATCACCTAATGATGCATTTCTCAGAATATATCTGCATACCATTAAGTGACATATGACAGTAGTATATGGTTACTAAACAAGAAATGTTATTACTTTTATTACTTAGTCTATGTAGTGAGGGGAATATTTGTTCTGTGGATGATCATTAACTCACTGGGGGAAAAAGTCAAGTACCACAAACTAAAAATAATGAATTATAATTACCGATTTTATGGATCAAAAAGCATCTATGGACTGACTCAATTGGAAATTGATGACATATGACTACTGAAATGTGTGAAACTGGCCTAATAATACAAATAGGATGGGATCTCAGAGTTGGAAAGCTCTCCCATGGATGTCAAATGCAACCCTCTGCCGTCCTGTGCATATTTCTTCCTGACAACCTACCAGGTACTTAACTCTAAATGACCCAGTTCTCCAAATGGAAGGTCTGTGAAGCTGCTCTTCTTGGGTCTCCCACAGGTGATGGCCACCCCACGCCTGTGTGCTCAGCCCAGCATGTCAAGACAATATGATAAAAACCACTGTGATGATTTTCTGTTGGGATGGCCTGGGAGTAGTTGTGGAAAATTTAGTCTCAGTGTAGGTGGAATATCTAGTGTCTTTTGAATTTTCAGCTCCTACTGTGGTGCTGGACACAACCAGCAGAATTGAATGAGCTGGGAACTGTGATCTCTGATTCTTGATCAGCCACTGCACAAAGCGGGACACACATAGAAAATGCACACGTAAAAAATGTTGATGCCTGTCAGACAGAAAGTGTAGAGTTGAGAACTGAGATTTGGAAAAGACCTGGAAAGTGATCCAGGTGTTTGAACTGATCCACAAATGGTGAAACTGGGCCAGAGGGGTTAGGTCCGGCCACATGAACTCAGCTAATTGACATGAATATATAGAATGAGAGTTCTTTCTACCACCTGAGCCTCTGGAGACAGGCTGTCTTGATTTAAATCTTGGTTCTCCTCCTTATTGACCAAATAATCTTTAATCAGTTATAGACATTTCTCTTCCTTGATCTTCTTACTTTGAAAATGGGAACAAAAATGGGGTTTCACGTGAATTAATGAGATAATATGTGCAACACACATAACATTCAACAAGTGTTGTTATTATTGCTAGTCTTCTAAAGAATCTCAGAAATGGCATACTGCCTCTGAAGCCAGAGAATAAATGTTTTTCCCAACTGGTGTTTAAAGTATTTTCTCTCACTTGAAATATTGTTTTCTGATTATTCTTTGCTTCTGGTTTAGAAGTGATCTTCAGGACCCATCTGTGATTTAGCAACCATATTCTTCTCTGGAATCACTCTGTGACTCTTGGATGGAAAGAAGAAATCTTTAAAAAATAATTACCCAAGTATCATTTCCAGTTCACTTTCAGCAAATATTTACTGAGTAGTCTGTCATGTGCCTGGCACAGCATTGGAGCTTGGAGGACATGAAGGCAGGAATCTGCTGTGCCCTTTACCGTTGTGGTGTATACAAGCAGGCATTGCCTAACATTTTTTAGGTAACTTTATCATCATGGGAATGTCAGAGGATAGTTAATAAACTTAGATGGGATAGCCTACCACACACCTAGGTTATCTGCTGTGGCCTATCAGGACCACCATCATCCATGTGGGCCTTTGTTGACCAAAAAGTCACTAAGTGATGCATGATTGTCAGGTTAGGTAGAACATAGGTCTCAAAGACCAAGGCTCTGTGTGCTTACCCTTGTACCAGCTACCACACTCAGCCTGACTGGAAATTAAATATATGATTCTGTCACAATACTCAGGAGCACTGGCAGGGCAGGATAGAGAGCTGGTCCACAGCACCTGGAAGGAGTCCTGAACCTCATTTAAGGAGTCAGGGAAGGGCTTCCTGGATGAAGTGGTGTCTATGCTGAGACCTAGATGAGCTAGATTCATGACTAGTCTAGATGGGGCCTGGAGAAGAATGTCCCAGGCACAAGGAACTATGTGTGAGTGTATGTACATGAGGGTGCTCAGAAGAAAACACTAGGAATTCCTCAATGTATTCGATTTTTAGCAAATATTTCTGAAGCACTTGCTATGTGGCTATATGTGTTTTGTTATACAATGTTATACCCATCTACACAATGGGTAGATGTCAGTTAACAAAACAGGTGCTCTCTTTATTTTCATAGAAGCTATAGAGGAGAGGAGAGAAAGATGGAAACTCCTATGAAGAGAACTTTTTAAGGTAGGAAGTGAGAGAAGCATTGAGGAAGAAGCAGTATTTAAGCGGAGACATGAGTGGTGAGAGGAATCAGCCATGTATAACCCCCTGGGACAGGGGCACTTCCAGGGCAAAGGGACAGCACAGGCAGAGACCTCAAAGGAAGGAGCCATCTCAGCAGGATGAAGAAACTGAGGAGCAGTGTGCTGGGGAATGGGAAAAGCAGAGTGAATAATTCATAGGGTTTTGGGCTGGGTTGTTGGTACTGAGGAAGACATGTGAGCATTCTTAGTATAAACTAGTTTGTTTTGTTTTTTTTAAAATATGCACACAGTATGAAGGTCTTTTTTAAAATCAGGAAACTTTTGGAAAATCTGTTTCAAATATTTATTTCTTCTTTGAAGTGGGGCTTGGCCCTGTGTGTTTTAATAAATAAGATGAGGCAAGGACCACATTTCCATCATCACTGACTGGAGCTGCATGTAAGGCGACTGTGTAGATCACTGTTCCCTTCCCTGTTAGAATTCAGGGACGCAGCATGACAAGCCAGCGGGGCTGTGGAGCTCCAGGAGTGTACTCTTTTACTCATTAGCTTGACTATGGGTGTTTCAATGGCTCCTCCTGGGTGCCACTCACATATTTTGAATTACCCTCATAAACCTTTTCTTGTTTTATTCCTTGGAACCAAATTTTGTATTTCAAAGAGGCCTTTATTTCTTCCCATCCAGTTTGTGTCAGCGTTGATCCAGACTAATGGTTCATTTCCTCTCTTCTATTTCTCCAAATTGTCTCTGTATTCTTGTAAGCCCCAGGAGCCAGTCTCATGACTCTTGTTGTTTGCTCCCAGTTAACAGCTTTGGAGAGGATGAAGAACTGTCCACATCTTCCGACAGTGACGAGGAGGTGATCAAACAATTTGAAATTTCGGTGTCCCGGTCCCAGAGTTTCCGATCAGGAGCTTCTGAGAAAGGAAAGCAGACAGGATTGGAGCAGAAACCAAAATTCAGCCGCTTACTATCAACCCATGAAGAAGATAGCACTGAAGTGTCTGCCTGTGAAGGTATTCTTTGGTCAAAGCCTTTGTCTATACTGGGGATGACCAATGTAAAAAGTGTTTTTGAGTCACTGTGCTTGTATCTGCAAGTCCGGACAGGAAAAGAAAATGGAGCAGGACTCAGTCTGGCGCAGGCACAAGGGCTGCTTCCCGCCTTAGGGGGGCCTGTCGAGCAGAGGACAGGGAGAGGAAGTGGATCAGAAGTACAGAAGTCTGCACCCCAGATTTATGGCACCCCTTCTAATATTTTGAACACTAATGATTAGAATGGTATTTATCAAGCTCTATAAAATCTTATATCCTCCTGATAAGGACAAAAATTTAAAATACCTTTCTGCTAACATAGAGATTTTGCACCTTTTCTCCCATTTGGAATAATAGACTCTATTTTTCCTATATCTACATAACTTCAGAAGCTTTTTGAAGCCTTTCTTTTAGTGCTTTGTATTACTAAGTCACAGGCATTGTTTAATCTTCCAGATAAAAAATACATATTATAATAATATTGAATAACCGCTTTCAAGCAACACACGCCCAACACTCCCTCATTTCCTATAGTTTCTAAAGCCACTTCTCCTGCCCAGTGACAAACTGGGCAAGAGCCAGGTCTTTAGTCATCCTTTAGCAACTTCATACTAACTTTATCTTTCACAAAGGGTAAGGGAAGATATTTGGAGGCAGAATAACTGATAACCTGTCTTGTGCTGACAGGTAGACCTTGTCAGGAGTCTCCCTCCTTCCCTAATCTGGAGATGGGATGCAAAGAGACTGGTACAGTATTTCCTGTGCTTTCCCAAGGGAACATCGGGCATCTGACTCCTCTGTGCCCAGAACCCCGAATAGTCACAGAAATCCAGATAGGGAAGGATTTGTGAAGTGTATTTGATGAAAAGCTAGAGCAAGTGCCCTGCTACCCATCTGAGTAAGCTGGCCTAGGTGTCCTAGGCTCTCTCATTTTTTCCTCCTTTCTTTTGGGACAGGTGGCCAGTCAAGCCAAAGGGAGCGTGACTATAGAGCTTTCATGTTTTTCAACACCAGCACTAGGAAGGGAAAGAGGAGTGTGCATAAGTTGAGAAAAGCTAACAGAGGGGAAATTTCTGTTTTCTAAATTCAAGTAACATTGCTCTATAACGTTACATAAGTTTTATTTGTGCTTCACTGAGCACCAACATGTGTGTATAACACAGTAAGTTCATTGCTAAACATTCAGTTCTGTCCTTCTCCACACCATTGTCCCCTTTGCTTCAGCTTATACACCCCACCTTCCCTTCCAGTGACCACTAATTGGTTTTATGGTCCAAAAGTTTATTTTTGTCTCATTTAGTCCACTTTGTTGTTTCCTTTCTCTACATACCACACATGAGTGAAATTATAAGGTGTTTGTCTTCTGAACTGATGATGTGGATGAGGCCAGCAGAAAAAGAACCAAACAGAAAAAGGATAGAATTAACGAGAAGAACCCTATTTTCCATTAGGGAAATATAATAATTTGTATCCACCATGTAATTATTCTTGTTGATATAGGCCAACATAACATTTTATTACTATTCTTTTCTACCAAGATAAGTCAAGAAATAAATGCTTTATGTAACCAAAGCATGACATCAGTAATAGCTGACCTCTGTCATGTCCTCATAGCCTTGCTTGCTTTCCTCTTTCTGTGGTGTTACCGCCCAGCATTCCTCTGTCTCCGTCAGGAGGGCAAGTGTTAGCTAATGAAAGTTAATAGCAGTTGATTCCCGAGGAGCAGCTTGTTTAATTCTAAAACTAATGGCCCCATTTTCCCCAAAACTCAGTGTCTGGTTTCTGACATTTTAACCTTTACCCTTCCTGGGGTGAGCAACGGCTTTTATCCTAACAGGTGAGTCTGACTTTTTTTTTTGACAGGTGGTGATAGAAAAGTTAGGTGTTTTTTTTTTTTTAACTTGAGAAAGGAAAAAGTCCACTTCATTGCATAAATTACCCATAGATTTTAAAGGTTTTGAAGAAAATTAGCAGTTTTCATAACAATGAAGAATTGCATGCTAAATTTTAGGTTAGCAAATGCCATGGAAATGTTAATGTAATTTTTAATGCATGAACTTTTTTACTGTGTCATTTCTTTTTGTTCATCTTTAGATCAGTGAACTTGTTCCATCAATAAAAAATAATAGAGGGATTAAGTAAGCATCCCAGGGAGGATTTTTTGGACCATTTTCTATTAGCTACTTTTTACGCTACCTCAAATAAGATTTCCTAAGATCAAATTTAACTGTAGATAATTCTTCTACTTTAAAACTGTATTCAAAATGTTGGTCCTGTAAAATCAAAGGTTCAAATCCAAGTGAAACTGAACCATGAAGGAGTTGCTGGTGGGTTGTCTCTTGTTTCATCTTAAGTGAGATCCATCCTGCTAGAAGAGATGTGAGTCTGTCAGAAGCAAGATGATAAATCTATCTTCGTGATGCAGGCAAGTCTCTCTTGTCTTGTGTGTAGTTTATTATCCTTGTGTGTTAAGTATCACTGCACTACTGTCAGGGATGGTTTGGGCTTAGTGACCAGGATCAGTGGCTGCATAACATGAAAACAGGCCACAGAACAGCAGTGTACTTACTGGGGCTTTCTTTTGTTTTTGAATAAAACCTTACTTTTGCTTGTGAAACACTTCATCTTTAGGACATTTCATAAAAGCCAGAACTTACCTTCCTACTGTCACTAAAATCAGCTAAATTAGCCCCAGAATCTGTGCTCAGTTTTGTTTTGGACAGTGTATCAAAGTTAATAATAATAAAAAAGAATGGAAACAGCAGGGTGGGTATTTATATTTCGAGAGATTTATTACAATGAATTGACTTATGTGATTGTGGAGGCTGGCTGAGCAGCAGAACACACAGCTGTGAAAGCCACAGGACAGGCTGTTGGGAAGTGCAGGCTAAGGGCTTATGTCTGAGCTGAGTCCATGGGTGAAATTTCTGCTCTTCCAGGGACCCCTTACCTTTCCTGTTAACATTCTTTCAGTGGAACTATTATGTAGGATTACATCCTTCATTTAAAACCAACCCCTTAAAGGCTTCAATTGCATCAACGAAGCACCTCTATGCAACAGCTAGATTAGTGTCTGATTGGATAATTGAGGCCTAGAGTCTAGCCAAGCTGACACGTGAAAATGACCATTATAGATGGTAAGCAAAAGCATGGATGGTGGTAGAAGGGAGGGGTTTGGGAGTATATGAGAAAGAAATTGAATCAGAGGGTTACACGCCAGCAAAGTGAGATATGGAATAAGCAAGTTCAGTACTTGCTCTACTAAAATTAATGTGCATGATGTGACATAATTATGTCCTATAATTTCTAAGAAGGCAGGATACATTTCTCTGACAACAAAAAATTACTTTTCTGTATGTTTGAGGTGATATGATCTTTAATGCCCAGGAAGAATGCTTTATGTAATGGTGAATCACCTGTCCCTTTCCTCCTCTTTGCAGCTTGACTTGTATCTAGATTTGCTTTTCTAATTTATTCCTTGCTTGTCTGTCAAGGAAAATGGTTTGTTACATTAATATAGTTCTTATGTTTTTCAGTTATGAATAGCTTTTCAAGGCTTAATGTAGCTTTTGAAAATTCCCTTATTACTGATCTAGGTATTATCACTGTAGGAGTTAAAGTCATGAGACAATTTTATGGGGGTAATTTCTTGGCAAAGTTAGGTTTTGTGCTGAAATCCTGCTGGGTGCTACACATGTTGATGGATGACCCACTGTTTAATAGAACATTTTAGTGTTCATATAAGTGAGGAATGGAGGTGCTAATTAGAACTGTAGAAAAGAATTCTGCTTTATGTTGTAGGGTTTTGCATATAGAATATCCCTTGTTCTGTCATTTCTGTGGCTTTTCAAAAGTGTGTTTGCCAAATAACTGTAAGCATGAATGTAAAAATTTTGTAGTGTCATATGAAAGTGTTTCCAAGGGGCCTGAACTAAAATATTAAGAATAAGGCAGATAGGGGAACTTCTCACTGACTTGTCATAGTTTTACAAAATTCTAAATTAGGAGTCTGAACTTGTGCTCTGAGTAACCTACCTGGAGATGTTTTTATATGGACTGCATAGGGTGATAATATATCTTAAAGATTGCATGTTTACTATAAATAGGTCATATACTTCTCTGTGAAACCTCTGTCACCACCTCCATGTTGCAACTTGGCTGGTTCAAATTGTTATTGGCCTAGGCTTTAGAGTTATTTGAGGGTTTAGTGAAACCTATTGGTACATGAAGACTATGCAGTAGACATAGGGCCATTCTGGAGCCTATATTCTAGCAGAGGTTTTGAAACTAATGGTGGAAAAAATTGCTACCATCCAGTGTGTAAATAAGAGCTGACTTGTGATATGCACTTTGTCATCCCACTCACTCATCCTGTCTGTTTCTTCAATTTTCTCTCATTCTGAGTGGGAGTGTTGCTGCTGGAGGATACTGGTAGCCCAAGAGATGACTTCTATGGCTACTTTTCCCCCCTCATACCTCAATTAGTTTATTATTTTAATTGTTATAAATTAAGCTAACATTTGTTTACAACGCTGTATATGATTCAGAATTATAGGATCACACCTTGGCTGCTTTGGGTGTGGGAAACAAATCACAGTGAAAGTTATTACTTAAGAAGAGCCTGCCAGTTTTTCTTTACCATCCCAGGGTAACCTAGACATGAAAGAGGCAGGGGACAAGGGAAGGGAATAGACAGATAGACGTGGAAGGTGTAGAAAGGTAGAATAACACTAAGGTTAAAGAAAACCACTGAGTCTGAAGGAGTCAGGGAAAATTTTGGTGTTGGTGGGGTTTTGAATGGACAAGGTGAAAAAGACAAGGGCCTGAGAAGAACTGTGAAAAGACACACACAACATTTTCGTGAGTCAGGGAGACCGTGAGTGACAGCCAGTTGGGCGGCAGTATGAATGAGCTTTGCTGGGGTGAGGTCAGTGTGGGTCACACAGGTAAGCAAGGCTTACTCTGTGACTCTCTGACGGCTTCCATATCATTGTACAGTTAAGAAAACAAAGATTCAGACAGTTCAAATGTTGTTCCAGTCTTAATGTAGAGCTAGGATTTAAACCTGTGTTAGCTGAGTCTACCTCCAATGTTCTTGCCATAGAGCTAATAGAAACATTTTTACTTGAGAGAACCACTGAGCCTTTTGGGCAGGGGATGAAATGATAAGGGAGCAAGAAGAAAGAATGACCTCCACGGTAATTTGCTCTGTCTGCTCTTTTAGCACTAGCTAATATGTTTATATTAGTCCTGAGACATAAATACACATTCCTTATATGCATATTACTAGAAAATAGTAAGTCTTCTTGTATCCCACATAATGAACTATTGGTGTTCTTGATGATATGGGCCAAGTTCACGATATGATTGGAATTATACTTTTACAGGTGTTACTTGATGGGTTTTGTTTTTAAAGTCTTGATGGGTGTGGTTGCGACTGCTCAATTTCTCTAGGTAAAAAGTGTAAAAAACAATACATTTGAAATAGTTTCCTTATTGCCAATTTAGATTTGGATGGAGCCAGCCGGCTGAGTTACTCTGAGAACCTGTCTTACAGTGAAGATGGCCCCATCTCTGCCCACTCCCGGTCCATATGTGAGAAGGCGGATGCTCGGCGCCATGACACATCTTCCCCGGAGAGCAGTGTGGTCCGCAGTCTCAGTCGCCAGTCCACCGAGGGCAGCTTGGACACTGAGACAGCTTTTAATAGCCGGGGCTTTGAAGACTCATATGCCACAGACAGCTCCTCTGCGTGGAGTCCAGAGGCAAGTTGTTTCCATTCTTCCCTTGCTGGGGTGTGTGTGCCTTCTGGCTGGTTCTTCTCCCTCTTCCTGCTCTCCTTCTCCATGCCCTCCTCCCAAGAAAAAAATTCCCCAAAAGGAAGAATTGTCTTGCAACCTTGAAAACCAAAAAACTAAAGGGCCTTAATTTGAAATAAATTTTTGTTCAGATGAATAAGGCACAACTGCTATGTGTGTTTATAAAAGAATCATAGGTAAATTTCTTTCAAAATGGAAAATAAAAGAATAATGGGAGAAAGCAACAATCAAGCTTCTTTTTTTTTTTTTTAAAAAAAAGCCTTTTTTTAACAGTCTGATTTTTATACAAAGTATTTTTAATTCCATAGAGAGATTGGTTTATTTCCTCCATGATTTCAGTTATGAGGAATATGTTCTTATGAACCCCAAACTTTGAGATATGACTTTTTGAATAGGAAAATTATTTGAAAATTAAACTAAATAAAACGGTCCTCCAGATGAGACGATACAAGTTATTATGATGAGGGGCCTTCCCTGTGGTGCAGTGGTTGAGCGCTGGGTTGCAAGGCTGCCTGCAGCCTCTGCAGCGCCGGTTTGATCCCCATCCACGGGCGAGGGTCCCACGATGATAGGCATCAGTAATGACCCTTTGGTCCTATCTTGCCATTTTTTTTTTTTAAATTCTGTTGCCTTTTGGAACTAATCTCTGATCAAAGATGGTTCTTCTAAATTCTTTCTCGATTGAAACTTACTCTAGAATGTTCCTAACCATCCAGAGCTATGACTGAAGGTGATGATGATAGAAACTACCTTTTACTGAGCAGTTACTATGTGCTAAGCACTGGTATAAGGCTGTTAAAAACTTTATTTTTCCATACAAGTATTTATAGCTATTCTTTGTTAGTTATTACCTATTATGATCCATATATTTGGGAATTTAAAATAGTGGTATCTACTACTTCTTTTAATCTAGTTTTGATATATTGAGTTGTATAAGTACATAAAACTTTAATTTGTGGAAACTGAGGCAGTAGAAGAAGGAAGATGATTTTGTAAGCATCAGCCTGGAGGAGAAACTATACAGGATGACTTTCTCACTCAGACCTTGACTGTCAGACACTCTAAATGCTCATCTAGGAGAAGAAGGAATGAAAACACAGAAAATCATGTTCCAAAGCCTGACTACTGAGGCACAGGGGCAGTGGAGGGTCCATGAGGAGACGTGCATGTGAGTGTGCATGTGTGTGTGCCCTTGTGTTGGTGTTACTGCTGAGCACTGATAATGCAGATAATGCTGTTTGTGACTTGTTAAAAACAGCCCTTCAGAAAGCAGCAGCCGGGGCTATTAACCTGGTACATCTTGTGGGAAAAAAAAATTGCTCTTTCCTGTCAGTTTACTTCTAAGAATCATATCAAATCCCACACAATAACATTTAACATTGAAAAATACTCTTTTTGGTTTGCTCACCACAAAAACAAAACATAACTGTTTACCTGCCTATTCATAGTCCTTTCTCTTTATAACTGTGCCTTTAGGCTTGGAATTACTTTTTCCAGGTAACCTCCTATTTGCCTGCCTCATGGAGTTTTAATAGAAGACTTGGTGTTGAGGGTACTAAATGTTCTCAGACTCCAAAAATACCCAGACATCTCTGTGTGCTCCATTCAACTTCTTATCTATTTTGAGACAAAAACTGTAATTTGGTGCTCCTACAGTAGAACCTCAAACACAGCTCGGAGGCAGTTCATGTACCTGTCTGCTTTGCAGGCTTAGCTCACCTTTTAAGAATTTATTTATTTGCTCCTGAGCTGTATTTAAGAACCTGTCTTCCCCTGAGTATCTGGCACTGGGAACAGACTGTGGGGATGTTTACTTTGGGCCACACAGACGACATCAGCAGTGTATTACTAACACAGAAAGGCTTTCAATTGGCAGACAATCTTTATAAACCTAGGTGGGTCTTGACAAGGGTGCAAGTGCTCCCATCCTTAAAAGAAACAAACAAACTCAAGATATTAGAGCTAAAAGAATCACTTATTTTTGCCTCAGAAGGAAACTGGCCATGCAGCCTGCCTACCTGTGAGGCTGATGGATTTCTACTCACTGTTCTCTGTGCTGGAAGAGGTCATGATGTTTACCTGCAGCCCCGAGGGTGGGTGAGGAGACAGTGGAAGGGTGCCTGGAGATTCTGAACACACAAGGAGGCAGGTGTCCCACTTTTCATTTCTGCTTTCTACTGATTAACTGGTTGGTCTTGAGAAGTTAATTAAAATCTGCCAAATGGGGATAAAAATGAAGAGATTTTTACCTCACAGGAAAGTCAGCTGGATTAGTGGTATTAACAGTACCCACACGAGGAGCGCCTTTAGTTGCCTGGTGATAGGTAAAGTGTGTTGAAATAATTAATTGCTATGAAATACCTGCCTCCACAAATCTTTGTCACAGAACAATCCAGGAAGGGGCCACAAAGCTGGTTTCTTGGGCCACAGCTTGGATTGACCCCTTCTAGACCTGGCTGTGTCTTCTTCAGAGTTTTTAGGACAGTCATTTCAGAGTTCTCCCTGGGGCTTCACAAAAAACTGTAGGTGAAGTGAGTATTTATTTGAAAAGATGGTCTGATAGGTATGTGGAGTCCTAGGATATTTTTACCTTGATGTTGAAGCTGATGAAAACTCAGGACTGTTAACTAGTATTAAGAGCAAGGACCTTACACATTGACCTTGGACACAAATAGCCATGATGAAAGGTTTGGGGGAGCAGAAGGGAGACTCAATATAAGGTTTGGGATATTGAGTATTGAATACTGAAAAATCCTGAATAGTCCTGTCTGGGTCTATGATGGAGATGGGGGGGATCAGGAGTGAGTTATTTAGCCTTTCTAAGCCTAATTTTCTCCTCTGTAAAATGAAGATATTAAAATATCTACCTTGTTAGGTTCACAGGAATATTTAAAAAAATGTATCTTAGCTGGACTCCACAAAAAGCAGAGCCTCAGGCCAAGACTTCTGTTCTACTTTCTTGGGAAGTATAATCCTGAGATTAAAAGTAAGTGACCAGGGAGTCGGGTGGGGAAGAAGGGAGAGCAGGTATGAAAATGTTAATGAGTGACCACCCTGTGAGAATCACAGCTTGATTTTGTGGGATTGCATTCTAGGGATATCTATCCAAGGGAGATGGGGCATGAACCCACCAGCTTCTCTGGACTTTGCATGGTGCCAAACAGGATTCTGTAGATTTCCAAGCTTTGACATCAATGGAGAGGACTGTGGTGGGAGCTGAGAGTTACATTGCATGGGCCAGAGATAAGACCTGTCAAGGTGTGCCACGCTAAAGTCACTTAGAGCCCAAGCAGGTTGCACCTGTAGAGAAAGATGGGACAAGAGGTGAGGCCAACATCTGTAGATAAGAACTGGCTTGTACAGTCTTTGAAAGGTTTAGTTTGGTGTCTGTCATAAGGGTAGGGCTGATGGAGCTATGCTAGCATAGCTATAAATGTTAGCTGTATTACTTTTGTAATGTAGCTACATTACTTTTGGTCCAGCAAGTAACACAGATGATCAAAAGTGGACTAAAATAGATGGGAGTTTTAACAGACGACTGTGACTTGATTTTTGAGTTGGCCTAACTCCTTGGAGATTTGCTTCTAATATTATATCTACACTAGTTAGTTGTATTCAAAAATCTCTATAGCAACCATTTTATCACTCAAAACTAAGTACCTCTGAATAGAAACTCTCACACATGAATGCATACTCAGAGGAAAGGATATAAGAAACTTCCCTTACTTTACAAAAAGCCTCAATTTTCTTGGGAGACTAATTTGAATCTTTAAAGAGAAGGGCATTTATTAGATTTCTACTGTGTCAAGTCCTTTAATTTTTGCATCAACCTTCTAAAGTTGGTTGAAGACAACAGGCCATAGAAAAGATGAGATAGCCTGCCTTATGCCACAGAGGTAGTGCATGGCAGGACTGGGATTCCTGAGGATGTCTGATTCCAGAGCACTGTGCATTTTCACCTGAACTCTGTGCAAAATTTTTGTCAATAAGAGCACATTTTGGGGCATTTTGTTATATTTTTTAAAATAATGAGGTTTTTTAATTAGCACAGTCTGGTGTTAAATGACTTAAATAAGAACTGATTGTGATTGATAATGTACTCAATGGAATACTACTCAGTTACAAAAAAAAAGATCAACTCTTGCCACTTGTGATGACATGGAGAAAATGGAGGGGATTATGTGAAGTGAAATAAGTCAGAAGTAGAAAGACAAATACCAGATGATTTCATTTATGTGTGGACTACTGAGGAACAGAACAAAGGATTAGACAAAACCAAACCAGTAACAAGCCCTAGAAATCTGACTTTGGAATTGAAGTTTCCAGAGTGGGGAGGGGTGTGAGGAGAGCAAATGTGGGAGGGGGCACAATGGATATGGTGGAGGGTTATGAGTGCCTTGGTGGGGAGTGTGGTCTGGTGACATACATTAGAAGAGGTGTGATATTCCTCTGAATCATGTACAGTGTTGCCAACAAACATTAGTGCAATAAAATAAAATAGAATCAGACCGAAGTTATGGTAAAAGTCATACCTTCAGAAGAAAAATAACATTATGTGACATTATTTATAGTTTGTTAGAACGTGGTTCCTTATAGTTACTGCAGTTCAGCTCAGTTTTCTCAGTGAGGTCGTCAGATCTGAATGACGACAGGTAAATTGCTGTCTAAGGGTGATAGTTCATAATGAGAGAAGCCACATTTGAAAATAGGTAAGCCAGTGATGGAAAAATATATTTATAGGGTCTTTTCTGAGCCAGGTATTTTTCTCATCTATTAAAACCATACAACACTACTCTATCAATTAGGCATCCTAATGCTCATTTTCAGCTAGAGGTCAAAGAGACTGGCCTACTTGGTGAGAGTCAAGAAGCTAGTCAGTGATAGAGCTATGATTTCAACTGAGGCATCCTGTCTCCAGGTCTAGTGCTGCTACTTGCTAAATGGCTGATGACACCCTTGCCACTCAAAGTTACTCAAAATGTGATTTGAGCTCAGCAGGACATCTCCTGTGAATGCCACCCCAGTCCTACTATATCATAATCCCTTGATGATTCAAGTGTGCATGAACATTTGAGCAGCACTGCCCTAAACATTTTCTTCCACATAATTTGGCAATAAACTAGACGATCATTTGTCCCTAACCCCCTATGGAATTCTTATTTGCCAGAGGTTCTCGCCTGAGGAGTTCGGGCCTATGTGGAGGAGTCATTTCTCCTGGAGAATCAAGGAAAAATCACCTCTTGGCTGTTGCATAGTTGACTTAGCTTCTCTTAGAGATTGAAATGGTGGTGATCACTTGTGCTTTTTGAGGGACAGTGTATATGAAAATACTTTGCAAACTTTAAAAGCTTTGTTTATTCATTCCAAAAGCACTTGTGAAGGCTCTCCACGTGCAAGGCACTGTGTCCTCAAAGAATCCATAGATTAATGGAGAGATGCACCAGTAAATGGACCTTTCTAATGCAGGGGGCTATGTCCTGGCATTTAGAAGCTGGGGTTCTGAAGGAGCACAGAGGGACGGCATCTCCCCTGAATGAAATTGGGAATTTTCACTTCCATGCCTAATCTTTTCCTCTACCTGCAACAGGAACATGATGGGACCAATTTTCAGGTACCATCTGGGGTCCCAGAGCCCATCTCAAAATGTGGGGACCTAGATGTCATCTTCGAGTATAGAGCTCCCAGTCAAAAACTCACAGTGACCATCGTGAGAGCACGGGGCCTCCCAGATAAGGACCGAAGTGGTGTCAACTCCTGGCAAGTCCATGTAGTGCTGCTACCCAGTAGGAAACAGAGGGGAAGGACATGCATACAGAGAGGGCCCAACCCTGTTTTCAAGGAGAAGGTCACCTTTGCCAAGCTGGAACCCAGAGATGTGGCCGCCTGTGCTGTCCGCTTCCGCCTGTATGCTGCCCGCAAGATGACCCGTGAGAGAATGATGGGAGAGAAGCTGTTCCATCTCAGCCACCTGCACCCAGAAGGGGAAATGAAAGTGACTCTGGTCCTGGAGCCAAGAAGTAATATCAGTGTGAGTATGTTAAATGGTGCTGCTAATGACGTGGTGTATTTGAGGATCTGGAATTGTCAGCCCTTGATTTAGTACATTCAGCCTGTGAATTCAAACACCTTAATTTAATTTTCCATTTGGCTCTTCTCATCCTTATAAGCCATGATTTGCACTTCATGGTACAATGGGTTTTTTTCACTCGTCTTTCCTGTAACTTGATGGATGTATTCCCTGTTCATTTTAGGAGATGACAGCAGCAGTGTAATGGAGGGCATAGAAAAACTGGGAGAGATGGCTTGGCCTTCTGGTTAGTGGATAAGTGGTACTATCAACCCCTCCCCCCATATCCTTTAGGATGAACCTCAGAGATGAGACTTTGAAGGTGAGGTTCTTTAGCAAGTGTGCCCGAGACATTTGCAATTGAAGCCCTGAACTCCAGCCAATTCTAAGACCTTCCATTTAGCTGACCAGGCTCCTTTCATCTGCCCCATCCTCTGTGTGCCTCAGAGTTTCAAGGAAAGACGACTTGCATGTCTATAAGATAGACAGCTGACTATTGCCAACTCTCTCTCTCTCCCCCACTCCCTCCCTCTCTCCCCCTTTCTCTCTCCCTCCCCCCTCTCTACATATGTGTGTGTGTGTATGTGTGTGTGTGTATGTGTGTGAGATCTGGTGTGAGATGGTTTCAAAAACCACATTGAAAGATCAGGTAGCTATCCTGGGCTATTAGGCCAGTCAGCCATCCATTTAAAAATGTTTACTGAGTGTCTACTTTATGTCAGGTGTTGTTTAGGAAAAAGGGGTACAGGAAAAATAACATGGAGATGTCTGTGTCCTTGGGAGCTTACAATCTACCGGAGGAGAGCCACAGGAGAGAATCCACTGTAGGCGTGGAAAGAGTGACAGAGGCTGCTATTTGTTTAGAAGGGTCAGAGAAAGTCTCTTTGTGGCAGTAATAAAACACAACAGTCAAGAAATTGAGGGAGCAAGACATGCGGAAGACAAAGATTCCAGACAGAGAAGAGAGTGACATATTCAGTGTCAGGAGGTGGGAAGAACTTGTCATGTTTCAGGAAGGGAAAGGAGCCAGAAAGTCTGGAGTGTGGTAATGGGCGATCTAGACACTTCCATTTTGAATAGATGCCCTAAAATTAGTATACCCAGACTCAAATTCTGATTTTTTAATTCCTAAAACTATTCCTCCTGCAGGATTCACTATCTTGGAGAAAAAGCAATTTAACCCTTTTACATGTGCAGGTCAAAAATATTATAAGCCACCTGTGATTTTTCTCTTTTTTACCTGAATCCCTGTTGACCATATCTCCCCAAAACAACCAGCAGCTGAGTCTCTGCTGGATTATTGAAATGGCCTCCTAGTGGTCTCCTTGCTTGTTTATCTGCCCCTGCAGACTGTCACACACATGGATCAGAATGAGCTGTTCCAAACGTAAGTCAGACTATTTCTTGTCTCTTCTCAAGCTACCTTTTTATCCCCTTAAGCTTTGAGTCAAGTCTGTCTGAAATGGAACACAGAAGTCACAGGGGGCGGGAAGGAAAGTGCAGGGGTAGGTATGACCGTTCCCATTATTTCCCCACAGGTGTGAGACTATTTAAATCCTTTCAGTATTTTTACTTATCAGGGTTCCTGGTAGGTTCTAGGGAATGATTTCAGTTGTTGAGAAGAAAGGTTTGAGCCCCGCTTGTTTCTGGTAGAGGAGGTGGTAGCTCTGGAAGGCAGGCTGGCTGGCCTGTCCCTACTGAGTCAAATCCAATTCCTGTTTTCCAAGTGAGAGTCAATATTCTGATCTATTTTGCTCTCCTCTTCCCAATGTGTCTGGAGCATAAGGGCAGGTACTTTGGAGAAGTGTGGGGGAATAAACTTAACAGAAACTATGGATTCTTCTGAGCTCACTTAGTTTCTGCATGGTCACTGAGCTCTAATCCATAGTCTGCGTGTTAGCTTCTTTATCAAACAGTTGTAAATGTGTTCATTTCCAGTGCAATTCATTTCCTTAGGAGGAAAAATTTAGCATTGAGCGTATGCCTGACAACCTTCCGAAGCAGGATGAGGTGCCAAGTGTTCTACATGGTGCTAGCTGTCCAGTGGTCTTTCTTTACTAGTAAGGACAAAATGCCTCCTGTGTTGCTACATTCATCAAGAAGCTGCAGAGAACAGAAACAAAGCCCATGCCTGCAGTGGATGGGTTCCATAGAAACATTGGAGCACAAATTACACAGGAGGGAATTTTGGTCTATATTAAATGTATTATTAACTCTCCATGTATCTTGGAGGATTTGATTTACACTAGTAATAACATCTTTGTCCGTTTTGTCTTCAGAGAGGAAATATTGAATGGAGACAGCTCTTGAAACAAATACGTCAACTAATATTGCGGGGGCTCCCATCCATGACTGTTCTCCCAGGCCCATTATCATTCATGCCGAGTGTGCCGTTAGTAATCTTTGGCAGCAGTTGAGATTGGTCCACAATTTCACCAAACATAATATCGGCTTTCTGTAAGAGGGAGTAGTGCCGTGTGGGCCAATGGATTCTTTGTTGTTCTTCCCCTCCAGAGTGGAGAGTCTCCGCTCAGCCCATCTGCAGTTTCTCACAGTGATAGTGCTTCATCCACACAGTCGCTGTCTCATGGAGGGGCGCCAGAGCTGCTGGTGGGGCTCTCCTATAATGCCACAACGGGGCGATTATCTGTGGAAATGATCAAAGGCAGCCATTTCCGAAACCTCGCTGTTAACAGAGCGCCTGGTAAGAGCATGTCTGTTCTCCCAATTCTCATCCTGCAGGGGGACGAAGAAGGCTGTGCCTACTTTCATCTTAATTCTTTAATTTTTGCAATAAAGTAATCTTAGTATGGGTTAGACAAGTTTTTACAAAGTTATATCTCTGGATTTTTAGAATATCTTTTAGATAGCTTTCCATTAGTTAGATTGAAGGCTACCTTGATATCTAGATGACTCTTGGCAAAAAATACCTCACATAGGGTATTTTATTGTATAAAATAAAAAGTAACGTATTGCATATGGACAACTGGAATCAGCTTATAGGTCCCAGGTCCTCAAGGAGAAGGAGAAGTCAGACTTTGGGGTGAGGCAGATGCAAGATTGAACTTCAGCTTTACCTGCTTGCCAACGCTCTTTGCCCTGATCCCGTGCAATCTCTCTCTTTTTAAATCCCAATAGGCTCATTTAGGGCAAAGAGATATTAACACACATTCCTCATATGTTTTTGGAGTTTAAATATAGTAATTTATGTAAAGTATTTAGAACAGTGCCTAAATAGCATAGAATAAGCACGCAGGAAATTTTAGTGGCCATGGTATGAATGGAGGAGAATGCTGAGGAGGGAGGTCTGGGATAATAAAAGCATCGCTCACCAGAGCAGCTACTGCTTCTGAGATCACCTCTGGAAAACCACACTCTCAGGGCTCAGGAATCCAAAATTCAAACAAACAAACAAAACAAAACTGCTGCCAACTGCCTCATCTTCTTTCCAACATTCTAGGAGGTTGAACAATGGAATAATACTGTTAAAAAATTAGCTTGCTGTTTGATGATATTGTTGCTAGAAAAAATAGTTGAAAGGAGGCAGGAAGATGGCTGCTGCCTCCATCCTGCTTTGAGGATCTTGTACAACTCTATCTAATCAAAAGAACCAAATTCATACCTAGAAGTCTAGCAGCAAGAGAGTCTGAAAATGTTGCGTTTCCATTCTTGCAGGAAGTTTAACTAAAAGGTAGTAGAGTGGAGGTGAAGTGAGCCTGTCTACCACAGGCCCCAAGGTCTTACTGGATTAAGGATGAAGTGACTAACAGTATGGTAGGCTGCCAGACTCAGAGGATCTGGCCTTACATGAAGCCATCAATTGACTAGTCAGCCAAGCTGGCAACAAAGGTCAACTTCTACAACCACATCTGGGCTCTCATTCTTTTTAGACTTTAACTGTGATGCAACTCACAAAGTTTCTGTTCATAGTAGCTTATCAGACAGTCTATATGAATGCCATTAGTGTAAGGTATTCAATACTCTAGACTACAGAAGAAACCAGACACGTAAGCCATATTGTGTTGACACTCAGAGCCAGGTAAGAGCTATTCAAAATGCACAGTAAGTGCTGATTATTAATTGCACAGCTAGAGTTACTTGCTAGATACAGCTTTGTTTTCCAAATTAGCTGGGATTTACTAAAGAATTGGATTTACTGCTTTTCACTCAGAGCTTTTGCTGCTCTCTTTCCCTGTCCTCTAAACAATTTTTTTAGGGAGAACATGGTGGAGCTGCTGGGAATGATGGGGAGGTTGATCGCATTGTGGCCTATTCCAGCCCATGCTGGGAAACTTTAATTTGTATGCTGGGTGGAAGCAGGCATTCCAGAAAAGAAGGATGGCATGGTGGCTAAGGAAAAATCAGCTGGAATCTGACAAATTAAGGTGTGAATGCAGGCTCTGCTATTTACTAGCTGTGAGTTACCAAAGCTTCAGAATCTGAGGCTCCTCTGTGAAACAGGGTCATCATTATACACTCTATGTCAGAGTATTCCATATAAAGCTGTGTTGCTGAGGAGGTACTATGGTTTCCCCACACATTTCTGTATAAAAGAAATGATGCCCATAGAGGAAATTCTAATAAAAAATATTTAAAACAGAGTAGGGAAAAAAGGGCAAGTTCTAATTTATACCTTAATTTTACTCCAGAAGATTAAGTCAGTTTGGCGATTATTACATGATTTTTCATAAGCTTAGTTTTGCAAGTTAATGTGAAATGTAACTGACATGCTGTATCTTTGCAGCCAAAGTAATAGAAGACAATGTTACTGTGATACTATTAATTAAAACAGAAACCCAACAGTGAAGACAAAAGTTTTTTGTTCAAGTAGAATGCTGGTACTTGAGGAAAAGCCAGTTTAATTAGGAGGGGTTGAGAAAGTAGAATGTTTCTTTGTGGTGATTCTGAAAGGACCTCTTGGTACTTTCAAGGACTTTGGGTGCTGATGGCGTTGGTTCTTCATTATGTCTCACTTCATTATGGCTCTAGCAATACTTTGACCGTCATCAGGAAACCTTAAGATACATTTTTAGTTTCCAGGAGGAAGAGAACAAGAGCAAGAAAGGAATAAGAATTTTTTGATGTAACTGAGCAGTGTTGGAAGAAAAAGGGGGAAGAGAGAGAAGATATAAGCTGGGGATAAATAGGACTGGAGTGGGGAATGGAGAATGTTGGAGGGAGCATGCCAAGTGAGGAAAGGGAGGGGTACCCCCATAGACCTGCATAAGAGTCAACCAGGAGGGAGGCTGTCAGGCTAGAGACATGTATAGAGCTATGTGTGCAAAGGTCATAAATTCTGTGCCTGAGACATACTGCTCAGGTACAGTTATTCCCCTGTGAAGAGAAGACATCCATCCTCCCTTGTGGGGTAGCTGTGATACTGTGAAGAATGGCTCTTAGGCAAGTGGGAAAGGAAAAAAGTTAAGACTGAGTAGGGAATTTTTCATCTGTAGAATGTGTCAAAGGTTTTAATCTTACTAGAAACAAAAAACAAGGCTGTGATTTAGAAGTAAGAATATTTTTGCTTCAAAATATATTGAAACAAAAGATACCTTTGAACTTGCCAACTTTATTCTGTCATATGACAGTTCTAATATTTTAAACTTTTCTTCCTAAGCAAGATAGAGAAGTTGGACAAATAGTTGATCAAGTTTCTCTTCTCTGTTAGGGTCAAAGAAGAAATGACTAAAATAAAAGGCTACCTCCCCAAACTTCTGAGGTATCTTTTGGGGAGAGGGTTTAGTGAGAACTAGGTTTTGCTCTCTTGTTAAGGAGCTAGAAGGGGACACTTTGAGAGATACAAATCTTTCTGGCCCCTCCCCCCAGTAGCTAAATTAAAAAAGGTGGATTCCATCAAGTGTTGGCAAGGGTGTGGGGAAAGGTCTAATAATTTCCTATTTAACTAAAAATGCACCAAAAATTTAGCAGTTTAATTCTTTTTTAAGATTTTATTTATTTTTGCATAGAAGAACTGGGGTACAGGCCAGAGGTGCAGGAGGTGAGAGGTCTCACCAGAGACAGTGTGGGGAGCAAAACAAGCAGGTCTACTGAAATACACTGCTAAGGGGAGCAGCAGGTGAGACAGGAGAGGTCTGCTGTGCCATATGCGTGTTAGCTCCTTGGCTAGGGATTGAACTCAGACCATGGTGGTAATAGTGCTGAGACTTAACCCCTCGGCCACCAGGGAGGGCCTAAGCAGTTTTGTTTTTAAACCAACAAATAACAGGCCTCCCCTGGTGGCGCAGGTGGTTGAGCGCAGCGCTATGAAGCTGTCCGCAACGTCTGCAGTGCGGGTTTGATCCCGGCCGACCAGCGAGGGTTCCACATAGCATAGCAGACATCTCCTGTCATGCCCACTGCTCCCCTCAGCAGTGTATTTCGTCAGTCTGCCTGTTCTGTTCCCCACTCTGTCTCTGGTGAATCCTCTCACCCTTCTACACTTATGGCCTATACCCTGGTTCTTGTATAAATAAATAAATAAACCTTAAAATAAATAAATAAATAAATGAACAAATAAATAAATATATAAACCAACAAATAACATTTTATTTGTTTTAGGTATGCTACAAAATAATTTGATGTTTAACATATTGTGAAATGATTATTGTAAAATGATCACCATAATAAGTCTGGTTAACGTATGTCACCCTACGTGCGGAAAAAAAAAAGAAGTCTCCTGCACTGTTGGTAGGATGTAGACTAGTCCAATCCCCATGGAAAACAATGAGGAGGTGCTTAAAACTATTAAAAATAGGTATTCCATGTGACCCAGCAATTCCACTCCAAGGCATCTACCCAAAGAATGAAAAAACTCTTATTCAAAGGTGTCTATGCACTCTTATGTACACTGAAGCTCATTTAACCATAGCTAAGCTATGGAAACAGCCTAACTGCCCAAGGAGAGATGAGTGGATTAAGAAGATGTAGTATGTATACACAATTGAATACTACTCAGCTATTTAAAAAAAAAAGGTGAATTCTTGACATTTGTGACAACATGGGTAGAACTGGAGGGATTGTGCTAAGAGAAATGTCATACTTAAACACTATAATAAACATTTTCTTTATCCATTGATGGACAAATTGTTTCCTTATCTTGGCTATTGTAAATAATGTTGCAATGTATACATGCAATGAGTGCATGTATATTTTTGCATTAGTGTTTTTATTTTCAAGTTAGTGTTTGTATTTATCTTTGGATAAATATTCAGAAGTGAAATTGCTGGATCATATGATAGATCTAGTTATTTAAGGGCCTCCACACTGTTTTCATTGTGATTATACCAAGTGACATTCCCACCAACAGTGCACAAGGGTTCCCTTTTTTCTATGTTCTCACTAACATTTACTTTCTGTCTTTAAGATAATAGCCATTCCAACAGATGAGTTGATAGCACATTGTGATTTTGATTTGCAATTTCCTGATGATTAGTGGTGTTTCAAATACCTATTGTCCTTTTATCCATGTATCTTCTTTTGGAAAATGTCTATTCAGGTCCTCGATCCATTTAAAAATGGATTTTCTTTCTATATTAAATTGTATGGTTTTTATTAGCTGAATAATATTCCATTTGTATATATATATACCCCATCCTGTTGGAACAACGTGAATGAACTTAGAGGTTATTGTACTTAATGAAATAAGCCAGATGGAAAAAGAAAAACTCCATATGGTTTCCCTTATATGTAGTGTATATATATATT